GGGGACGCCTCTTTCCTCAGCTACAGTTTTAAATAAGTACCTGAGCACCTGTCCCGCGTGAGCGGTGTGTCGGAAAAGAACATCTATAGCTAGAAACTTTCAGTATCAAATTATTTAGGAAACCGACCTTCACTGACATTGAAAATGAAATATCCACACCGTTAATTCCCTTGCTTGCCGTCATCTGCTTTTTTTTTTAACTGGTGCCCATAGAGGAAGCTCGGAAACGTGAGGTAACGGACCTCTGACGCTCTGGCAGTTTGATGCAAGGACCGAGCTGCCCGAGAAGTTTGTGTTTCCTTTCGACTCATTCAAGGTAGCGCAGAGCTGGAGAGAAGTCGGACGTGGCCACCGCGGGTGCGGAGCTCCAGCCTTCGGTGTTTGTCCTGCCCCTTGGCTCGGTAAGGCGGCGTGGATGGGTACGACGTGGCGTTCTGGGGGTCGCACCTTGTTCTTAGGTGGTGCAGAAGTCCTGGGTTAAGAAAGGACAGCCCCTACCAGTGACGCCTTTACATTTCAGAGCCGTTTCGCTCTCTATTTACAGGTGTTTTAATACACTCGCGCGACTCGGACTAAGCTGTGGGAATACTGACGGTGTAGCGTTGGAGCTGAGACCTGGAAAGAGTCCTGAAAAAAAGCGAGGAGCCGCATCCTGGTTCTGCTGCGGTAAACTGGCACTGCCTCCGGTAGGGCCGGGGTTTCACCCTGGCTGCCGCCGTCGGTCGTGGAAATGAGAACAGGCAGCATAAACAGATGAGGTGAGTTTAAGAGAGTTAGAAGCGTTTGTGATTTATGACATAACTAAGTGCATTAGGAGGAAACTTTCCATAGGGAAAGGTTATTCTATAATTATCCTTTCTGTAGGCTTTTTGTCTTCCGTTGAAACACCTGGAATTAGAGAGTCTTAAAGACAAGGCCCCGTGCTGGAAGAGCCATAATCATTAAGGCAGAGCCTTTTCTACTTCATTCCTATGCGATCCTAAAATGTGCTATTAGGAAAGGCCGTAGTTGTTTGGTAAATACCTTCTTTCTTCCTAACCATGATTCACTGATATCAAACAGTTCCTAACACGTCTGAGGAAAGTTTCTAACACAGCGGGATATTCCCGCAAAGCACTGCGTATCCTTTCCTTAGACCTTTTGTCTTTTCCTAAGACCTGGTTGCCTTTGAGCTCAGTTTACGCTGCCAAGGACTTGCCACCAGAAGAAGAAGCAGCGGTGTGATTGTTATTAGGTATAGTGACGGCCGGCACCGCCGAGTATCCCGACAGCTAAGGGCAAGGCTGCGCGCAATCCCGGGAAAAGTTTTGTGTGAAGTTTGGGGATTCTGGATGCCACCTAGAGGATTGTCCTTGTTGTGCTCTTGGCTGCTTTTCCTCAGGAAAAATGCTTTTTCCACCTTTCCTAGGCCCCGCAGGGAGCGAGGAGCATCTGGTGGGCACCTGCCACCTTTGCTCCCGTTGGCAGCCGAGTGCTGAAGGCCCACGCCGAAGTCACCGGTGTAACCACGCGGCATGGTGCGGTACCACCGGTGAGACCTGGCTGGGGCCCAGGCGGCACTGTGGTCCCGTCAGACTTAATGATCAGCCCTAGATGGTGTCCCAGATGGAACAGGGCTACTCTTGTTTCCCATCCTGGAGCTCCATGGGAGACATCAGTCTCCAGAGAACCACACCCAAGGTTTGGAAATCAATCCATGCACCAGAAGGGCAACCTAGACCTGGCACTTTCTCGTTTAATTTCCTGTGGCTGTGGGCCAGGCGTTTGCAGGATGCTGGTTCAGAGCTGCTAAGGGCAGGAAATACGAAGGGCAGAAGGTAGTCCATCTCTGCAAGTCCAGAGGAGGCCACGAAGACGATCCGAGGGCTGGAGCACCTCTGCTGTGAGGACAGGCTGAGAGAGTTGGGGTTGTTCAGCCT